GATCAAGGGGTTCTGTGAGACTATGGTCTGGAGCCCCTAGGACCATCAACTCACTGCCTTGTTATTGTTAAACGCTGTCCAGTTCCGACTCATAGTGACCCTGTATAGGGTTTCTGAGGAGCAGCTGGTGGGTTTGAACTTCCAACCTTGTGGTTCACAGTCCAGTGCTGATTCTACAGTGCCACACCAGGAGCCCACTCATTGCCTTAAGATGTTTGATAATCAAGGAAGTTTTCATCGTCTTGCCTGCTGTCTGCTCTACCATTCATGGCTGTGTTTGCAGGAAAGGTAAGTATTCATGTACCAGTATCCTCTAGGTTTGAGGTTTTTTTGGTAACATTATACACGTGAAGGAGTCCTAGTATAGCACTGTGGTTCATGTGCTGGACTGCAAAGTCAGTTTGAGCCGCAAGGTAGGTGTTCCAAGCTCACCAACCGCTCCTCAGAAACCCTATACAGGGTCACTAGGTGTCAGAACCAACTCGACAGCACTTAAGCACAATATACCTGAAAGGCAGTGATAGAATTTGCACTTCTCTTTCATGTAGCAAAATGATTAAAACTTCCTAGATCCTATCGAACATCCGAAGGCAATGAGTTAATGGGCCTGGGGGCTCAGAACCATAGTCTCAGGGGACACCATGGTCACGTAGCATAACATAGTCCACTAAGATAATGTTCTCCATTTGGCTTGGGTGAGCACCATCTGGGACCCAGAAAGCTCATGAGCAGCCTTCTAAGGTATAGTGTTGCTATGATGCTGAAGGCGGTTCAGTAGTGGCCAGATTATGCAGACTAGAAGAAATGTCTGGCAACCTAATTCTGAAAAGTAGCCAGTGAAAACCCTACGGATGGAAAGAAATGAAATAGGAAGTAGAACGACAATGGAAAGAATCCACGAGACAAGAAGTTGGTTCTTAGAAAGGATTCATTCAATCCAAAAGCCACTGGCAAATCCTAACAAATGAGAAGATACAAATAACACGAATAAGAAATTATATGGGTGATGTCATGACATTACCAACAGAAATAAAGTGGATAAGAACACAATACTGTGAAGGATTGCTGTTACGTGCTGTGGAGTCAGTTCCGACCCACAGCGACCCTGCACAGGTTTTCTGAGGGTGTAAATCTTTACAGGGGCAGAAAGCCTCATCTTTCTCCTGCAGAACCGTTGGTAGTTTCAAACTGCTGACCCTGAGGTTAGCAGCCCGATTCGTAACCACTACGCTACCAGAGTTCCTTAGACTCCAACAAATTTGAAAACCTAAAAGAAATGGACAAATTTCTAGAACTATCCAACCTACAGTAAACCACCACAGGCTGAAGTGGAAAACTTGAACAGTCCCATAAAAAGTGAAGAAATAGACCAAGTCATAAAAAACTCTCAACTTTTAAATAAAGTCTAGCTCCAAAGGCTTTACTGGTGAATTCAACTAAACATTCAAATAAGAGTTGAC